CCCCCCCAAAATTTTTTGGGGGTCTGAAAATTTGGGGAAAGAAGCGCTCTAGTATTAGTAACTGATAGACGAAGTTTGAATAAGTTTTAGTGGGGGGGCGAAAAATGTCGTTTTTGCATACGGCTCTTTGAGATGATAGCCTCCTAACACACTACTTTTTCGGCTTTTTGCGAGCTATTTTGACTGAACTCACGCAGTAACAATGGGGGCCGCTTGGATGCCTCCTCCAGTGAATTTCAAAACACTGCCTTCAAGTCTGCGGTGCTAAGGAAAAACGCCGTATGAACATTCGAAAGTTGTCGAATTTCCCAGAATAAAATATGTATTTTTGAAGAATATTTTGCGTATTTTTCCTCAAAATTTTCCGATATTTTAGACTAAATTGGGGATAAAATTAACTGAAAAATTGGAATAAAAATATTCAGAAGTTCCCCGTTAATTCGTTGGTTATTAAAGAAAATATGGCAACGCCTGTAGGCTCAAACGGCGTTTTTCCATAGCGCGGCATAAGTGAGGTCTTTGACGGTTAAAATAAGCCATCATGGGCCGTACAACTGGGCTTGGAGACCAGGCGGTCCCAAAAGATCTCATTTTCAATTCGTCACCCTTCTCTCTCTTCCTGCTCGGCCAACTGGAGCTCCAAAAAAATCGATTCAATTTTTCAGTTCACGTTCGATTTCAACTTTCTCAGTAAATTTACATTCTGCTAAAAAAGTATATTACAATGAACTAAATTTCGTCGTGATATGTTGATAAGTAACGGAAGTAGCGTTCAGCAAGTTGTAAATGCAGCAGTTGTGGTATTGATCTTAGTGTACCGTAGAATCATGTATTTTCATTAGTTTGACCACCATTCTGCGTAAAATTTCACCGCGAATCGAAAAGTGTATACTGTAAAAACAATTTCCGAATGATAGAAAAGATTGCATTTTTACTGTCTTTAAATTTTGAGGGTCAGATTTTGTTTGGCATATGAGACAATAGGGCTGCGATCCCGTAGCGGGCAGTTTCGGTCTCGAGGGTTGTAAGACAAAAGGACGGGAAAACCCATGTCATCGCGCCGCTTCGACAGTTTTATGGAACCACTTAGCTGCGGCGGCTTCCCTTTACTCAGACAGAGCAGTGCTGAGGCAGAGTCCGAGTTTGACCTTGGGCGTTGGGTGAAGGCTGTGTACGTAGTATTAATATGGAGAGGGGTCTATTTGCATCTCTCAGGGGTTCACAAAGATGTGGCTAAAAAATTGGAAATTCTCGTAAATTTGCGAGCATCTAGAAGTTAGAAGCTTTCAATCGACCCAAAAATCGTAAAAATCGCTATACTATCGCGACTATAACAGGGCAAGCTCTAGCGTAGGGGGGTGTCAACGTAGCCTCTTTCCCCTCCTCCTCCCCCTAGCCTTCCTAGAAAATTCTTAAAATTTTACTCTATTTGCTGTATTTTTCGGATGAAATCTGATGGAACGTATTGAAAAACTGTGGTTTCATTTCTTTCTCTCTTACTTATGATTTCGTTTATTTAACTTGTTTCGAATGTTATTGAGCACTGGAGGACGGCTCCATGCTCTTAATTTCTAATTTTGCCACTTATTTGAGATATTATAGTCTTTATTCTACAGCATTTAGAATTTTTTGAGTTACTTAAATTTCCCCAAAAAAACAGCTCACTGCATTTAAAACATGATGAGAATTGTCTAATTCATCACCGATTAGATCTAAGTGAGCGACATTTTATGGAATTTAAGGGCATTTGCTCCGGAGGAGCAATTACAACCGCGACAGAAAGAGGGAACAAGATAGCGCATCGGAGGCAGAAGCAGCGCGCTGCGGTGACGGGCCAAGAGAAGCGAGCTCCGATCGCGCAGCGAAGGGCTCGGACTCAGAACGTACCGCTCTCCTCGCCTGCCTTGATTCCGCCGCCGAGCAGCGGCTCTCCGCTCAGCTGATCGCAAGCGATTTTCCAGCGCATGGGTTGGCCCGTGTTCAGGCCGGGCAGCGCGCTGCGCCACCTCCATCCGCTCTGCCGCTTTCCTACTTTAGTGGCTCTATACGTATGTCTGTTTCTCTCACTTTCTGTTTTTAATGCAATTTACTTACTGAACACCTTTTATAAATTATATTTGCTAAAATGTAAAACATGTAATAGGTGTAATTTTCTTCTTTCTTTTGAAATCTTTGGGCAAGCAGTGCTTGCCCTGCTTATCCGGACCGCACGCCACTGGCCCCACTACATTATCAACTGAAAAACAAGCTTTCTGGGAAAACCTGCTAGTACAGACGCAAGGTGATATAATGATTGGACTAATGAAAATGTACGTTTATTGTGCTTTCAGATTTTGAGACTCTGGTTTCTAGTTGTCAATTTACTTGAATCAATGGACTTATAAGGATTTGCATTTTGAGTATCCATAACATTGATCTTTTGCCTGCATAAGCTGTTCTTCAATTCAAAACAGGTGATTATAAAAGAGGGAATAGTCTGCACTCAAGAAGTGTATGTCCTTTCGAATATGGTGGGAAACGAATACAGTATTAGACTTTGGCGGTGTCAATATGACTACATTTTTAGACGGAACATCATGAAAGAGGTTTACTCAAAGATGCCCATTCCCCTCACTCCTTCGATCGTGTCCGGATTTTGATATGTTATCTTTTTGCATACAACACTTGTTTTTCTGGAGATGGTGAAGGCAAGGAAAATTCTCCCTATGCGTGTAGCGTTCACAAAATTGGGAACTTAAAAATTCCATAGCTGGCAGAAAAGTTAAGCTATGAAGTCACAGTTTGGACATTCTTTTCAAGATGTGCTTTTATTTATGATGTCTCCTCAATTTAAGCACGCATTGTATCAATTTTTCCGAATTTGAAATTTGTAAATTTTTGGAGAATTGAGATGAAACGACCACATCATTTACGATTGAATTTAAGATGAACCATCACATGGTACTTAAAACTTCATCGTAGCCTGAAGCTTTCCGGCTTGGTGGTCATCTACCGAGCCACCAAAGGAAACACATATTTATAGGAAAATCAACAAGTAACATTGAACCGATGCAGTCGAACAACAAACAAATCCTTTTTTGAGTGCTGTTGAGAAATGTTACAGTCTGCATAAGGCTATCAGGCCTAAGAAGCAATAAAGTTTACGTAACATCATAATTAAGTTTCAAAATTTTAATTACAATACCTTGATTCATCTTTGATTTAATCATTATAAATTTTTACTATCTCGCTAATATCTAGTGATAGCTCTATTTTGTTATGAATAAAGTCATTTAATCGATAGTTCATTTGATTCAATAATATGTTTCACCTCACATAAAGCATATTTTTTTGGTGAATACTGCATCCTGCATGTCCGCATCCACGCCATAGCAAATTACACCTAAGACATACTGTCGGCGGAAAAGATTTCAAGTACTAATCCAAACAAGTCACATGATACAACCGGTACTTCCCAGCGTTCCCAGCATGCATTACAATTGCAGAATCGAGAGTTCGAGATTTGCCTGAGGAAAAACCGGCGCCAGGTAGAGATCAGCTTAATAGTGTCAATAATAATCCAACTGCCCAGTGGGCAATTGCAGCAGAGGGATATTCTAGGGATCTTCCTCCTTCAATGGCAAACAGAGTATGAAAAAGGATAAGAATTCCGTCAAGCCCATGAGATCTCGTCACAAAATCAGTGGGTATATATCTAAAAAAATTTTAAAAAAGAAGAGGGGGAAAAAATAGTATTCTCTCGAAAATTACAAAAGGAATAGCTCTTACTTTGTTTTCCGTTTCAAACCTCAAAATGACAGATATGAGGGCAACATTTCGAGGCACGAATGTGATGCGGCGCGGGTGATAAGAAAAGGACTAGGTGCAAAACGGGCTATTTGGGGCTAGGGGCGGATACATTTGAGACTGCCCTATTCATTCACCTAACAATGCCCCATCTTTTCCCAAAGTTTCAAGCCCCGCAAAAATTTTGGGAAGATGCGGCGGGGGGTCAAAGTTAAAAATCAGCAAAATTTTCGCGAATTTACTACTTGGAAACCAAGAAGTTTTGGAAAACGCGGTTTAAACGAGCGTATTTAGCGTGACGAGAGCTTTCAGAAAATGTGTAACATCATAGGGTTTTGTCAAATTCAGCTCGAGTTATCGCCTCTGAAGCGCCGAAACGCTCAAAAAAGACCCTTTATTTTTTCACGTTTGGGCCGCTTTAAAAAAAAGCCATTTTTTTATTTTGATGAAAAACTGATATGTTGTTCCTGACTCTCTGTAGCCCCTCTATTACTTTACCGCATCCTGGGGAAATGTTTTGGGAAATTGTTGTTTGGTCGCGAGCTATAAGAGCGGAAAGGAGCGAAGGTCGGGAAAATCGGCTGTTTAAAACTGCGCGCCGCGACGGATCAGGAGACATGTGGCATCAATGCGAGGTCGGCAAAGGAGTGTGATTCGCCGATCAGAGTGGGAGGGAACGTTTTCCTTCCGATCAACGCCGCGCGCGCAGTTTAAAATAGCCTATTTTCCCGACCTTCGCTCCATTCTGCTCGTATAGCTCGCGACCAAAACATTTCCCCAGCATGCGGTAAAGAGCTAGAGGGGCTACAGAGAGTCAGAAACAACATATCAGTTTTTCATCAAAATAAAAAAAATGGCTTTTTTTTAAAGCGGCCCAAACGTGAAAAGATAACACGGTTCCGTTGAAGGGAAGTTATAAAGTGACTGGCCGTCTCCGATCTCTTCAAGTAGGGTGTGAATACTATGTTTTTAGCCAAAAATCGAAATATGTTGTTCGAGCTCCTCGAAAAATAAATTGATTTTTACGTTTTTTTTTCCAAAAAAAATCATGAAATCGAAGAGATATCCATTTTTTTCAGAGAAAAATCTTCTCGCAAACTAAATTTCAATTATACCGTCAAAAAGCTCTTGCTTTTAGCTCTCTAACGGTCTATAGTTTTTGTAATTTAGAGCAACTGGCCGCCTATAAACTGAATTTTACTGCAATCATATCAAGGAATTTTCTACCAACTCGGACGGCCGGATTCCTTGAATTTATCTCTGTTATTTTTCAAGTTAAGAAATAAAACACATATGCCGTAGAAAGGCCACATTCTCAGCTTTCTATTGGTATAACAATTTTGGAATTTTGAGCAACTCAACGCCGGCACATGGGAATTTTTCGAAACCATGTCAAAAAACGAGGAAAAACGGGTGGCTCCAGTCAAAGTCAATTTCTCGCCGCCCATATGCGCCAAAATAAAAAACCAACATATCGTTGGAAAGCTGAAATCGTCAGCTTTCGAATGGTACCTTGGTTTTTTTTTGTAGCGTTAAAAATCATGAGTAAAAATAGGAATCTCCGTCGAAGACGAAACCTTGTATTTTGGCTACTCTTTTTTGTGGGGAGGCATCTCTTAATTTTTCCCTCGTCATTTTTGGGGGGATTTTGGTCACTCTGAACATTACCTGAGAGTCCTATGTCCCATTAGACACATTATGAATCACACCTGACGCAGTGAAAATGCATGGTTGTCAAATTTGGTCATTTATCATAGCTTTTCCAAATTACCTAATGTATAATTATAGTGTTTTTGGCTACAAAAATGGGTCATAATCGGTGCGACGTCATTCGAATATAGAAAGCTCAAGTCGTTAAGAACATGTGAAAAGGATGTTCATCGATTTTTGGGGGGGGGGAGGGGGAGCACTTTCAATACTTTATGCAAGAAAAAATGTAAATAAGATGACGATTCAGCTAATTTGAACACAGCAAACCTATTGTTAAACACAAATTAAGTTTACTTCATTGCCTAAAACAAAGGAAATGTCGCAAAACATAGCACAATAGAATGAACAACGTACAAAAAAATCAGTCTCAGTTAATCAAGTACAATAAGATAAAGTATCAAACAATAAATACAAAAGAAATTAATTAATTATAACACAAATATTAAATAATTAATAGTAAATATTATAATAAAATATGAACTCGATGAGCAGCCTTTTCACATGTTCTTAACGACTTGAGCTTTCTATATTCGAATGACCTCGCACCGATTATGACCCATTTTTGTAGCCAAAAACACGATAATTATACATTAGGTAATTTGGAAAAGCTATGATAAATGACCAAATTTGACAACCATGCATTTTCACTGAGTCAGGCGTGATTCATAATGTGTCTAATGGGCCATAGGACTCTCAGGTAATGTTCAGAGTGACCAAAATCCCCCCAAAAATGACGAGGGCAAAATTAAGAGATGCCTCCCCACAAAAAAGAGTAGCCAAAATACAAGGTTTCGTCTTCGACGGAGACTCCTATTTACTCATGATTTTTAATGCTACAAAAAAACCAAGGTACCATTCGAAAGCTGACGAAGCTGGCCAGTCACTTTTTGTATAACTTCCCTTTAACGGAACCGTGATAAGGGGTCTTTTTTGAGCGTTTCGGCGCTTCAGAGGCGATAACTCGAGCTGAAGTTGACAAAACCCTATGATGTTACACATTTTCTGAAAGCTCTCGTCACGCTGAATACGCTCGTTTAAACCGTGTTTTCCAAAATTTCTTGGTTTCCGAGTAATAAATTCGAGAAAATTTCGCCGATTTTTAACTTTGACCCCCCCCCCCTCGCATCTCCCCAAAATTTTTGGGGGGCTTGAAACTTTGGGAAAAGATGGGGCATTGTTAGGTGAATGAATAGGGAAAGTCTCAAACGTATCCGCCCCGAGCCCCAAATAGCCCGTTTTGCACGTAGTCCTTTCACCAAAAAACGGCAATTAATCAGCGATTATCAATGGATTGTTCAATGAATCATCTCCAAACTTTGCCCCCTACAAGCCTTTCAAAATTCTGCGGTCCGGAGTGCGAAGAGTTTGAGTTCCGTTAAGTTTTCACGGAGGTATCATAAAAAAACGCAAAATGTGAACGGATTCGTGTAAGATACTGTAGCGGCTCCTATTCTCGGTTGGAGATCTCTATAGTCTTGACGGGGTCGCTACCGCTTCTAGTAATTATCTTATAGATAACTCTTTTTCGATCGTAGAATATGGAGTATCGTCCTGAAGGGTGCTGGATACATAGCGTACAGGTAGAGCAGGGCCTACAGGATCAAAAACAAATGACGCCCAAAGCGAAATTTGATGCATCGGTGGTCTGATTGAATTATTTTCAGTACAGTCCGGATGTTGGTGGATTGTATCATTATACAACAATTCCGTACAGTGACTACATCGCTCAATAAATTTTGAATTTTTGTGAGGAATTATGGATTTTTTTTTCTAACATGTATCGGTACAAAAGTCTAATTAAGGCGCAGCGCTACGCACCAGAATTGATTGAACTGGGTAGGTGGGTCTGGGCTTGAACTGACTCATCTCTTATTGCCACAACTATTTTCAAAATGAAATTAATTAATTTTATAATAAAGAGATGGATTTTGTTG